ACTTTGTTTGCCGTAGGTGGTAGATTCCAATAAATACTCCCCCATTTTTCTTCTCTTGTTTATTTTATGTTATGCTTATAATACTTAGAAATGAAATTTTTTCTGAATGTTCAAAAATGACTATACGAGGCCTGTCTAAAAAGTATCCGACCTTAATTTTTCCCGCGCAAAGTAGTGATTCTAAGGCGGCGCCACTGTGCACGGTGGAAGAAGCAACATTAATGCGCATGCTTGAATTTTTTTACCGCGTTCACTTGTGTAAGACGCCGGCTGGTGGTCGCCAAGTAAGGTGCTATTCTTAGTGTTCGTCTGATTTAGTTTTCTCGCAAGATGACTGAACGAATTGAGCAAAGATACTGCATCAAATTCTGTCAATAGCTTGGTGATTTTTAAAGTCAAACAGTTCGTAAGATTCAGCAGGTGCTTGGAGAAGATGCGATGGGTGTAACACAAATTAAGGAGTGGTTCAACCGATTCAAACATGGCCGCACATCAGCCGAGAGTGAGCAGCTCGGAGTGCAGCTAATGTTGCGTGGGTGCGAAATTGGATAATGGCAGATCGTTGTTTGACAGTGCCTAAGATTGCAGAAGAGGTTGGAGTGAGTAAAGATTCTGCAGATGCAATTTTGCGTGAAGATTTGAACATGTACCAAGTGGCTGCGATCTTCGTTTTGACATTGTACAAGATCTTCTGGTCACCGCCAACACTGATCCTGGGTTTTTGAACACCGTGATAACTGGAGACGAGTCATGGGTGTACAAGTACGACCCAGAAACAAAGAGACAATCGTCGCAATGGAAGCATCCTGATTCTCCAAGGCCGAAGAAAGCGCGTCAGGTGCGAAGCAAAATCAAAGTGATGCTGTTTTCTTTATTGTCCGTGGAATTGTGCATCACGAATACGCACCGAAAGGACAAACAGTGACAAAGGAGTACTATCAAGATGTTCTCCGGCGACTCCGTGACGCAATTCAGCGCAAAAGACCAGACATGTGGACGGCGAACAACTGGCACTTGCATCATGACAACGCCCCTGCACATTCATCCCAATTGATCAACACTTTCTTAGCCAAACATGGAATTACAACCGTTCGCCAACCTCCCTACTCTCCAGACCTGGCTCCTTGCGACTTCTGCTGGTTGTTCAAACGCCACTGAAAGGATTCTGTTTTGAGAGTAGAGAAGAGATAATGCGGAACGCGACGACGGAGCTGAACACCATTCCAAAAGAAGACTTCCAGAGGTGTTTCCAGCAGTGAAAAAATCGGTGGGCTAAGTGTGTGCAAGCACAAGGGGCCTACTTTAAAGGGGATTAGGGTCCCAACTCCGTCAGGTATTCTAAATATTTTTTCTGGCCAAAGATCGGATACTTTTTAGACAGGCCTCGTACATCTCTACGTATAAGTACATTTATACAGAAAAATAAAACGGAGTATACCTACGAGTATTTACATTGTATTTGATGCAAGGATTGTACTTCATTTAATATAGGGGAGGGAAGGCCACCTTTAGACAGGTTCACCATGAGAGAGACGTTGTATTTTTTTAATTAAATTCTAAATAAAGATATTTGTTCTGTGACATATTGCGTAATTATTAAAATCAGGTTCGTTTTTTACTACATAATTTTTGGCATAATATAAATTGCAATGAAAGATGTTATTTTTACATTTAAATGTATCTCTTGTACTAGGATTGAAGGTTTGGCAGTAGGATAAAATAACTTAAGCAATTAAAAAAAATCTGATGTGTCCAACACATGACTTTCCTATCTAGTTATTACAGGCTTTTTCCGGTTATTTTGTACAACCTATTTCAGCATCTCTATAAATGTTTAGAGGATAAACTAAATATATACATTGTTCACATACCGCGAAACATTTTTCTATAGATATTCATTGAAAATGAAAATACTGAAAAATTTAAATTTAGCACTTTTCCTACAATTTTTCCATTACGGTCCATTTTAAAAAAATCATGTATGAACAAATATTATAGAGATCGATATCGCAAACAACTTTTATTTCAACAATTTTCATAAAAATCAGAATTTTGCACATTTTGTCAAATTTTTCGAATACGCACCATTTCAGGAAATTTTTACATAAAACAAAAATTATAGATAATAATATTAGAAGTAACTTTTATTTGAACAATTTTTTTCTCCAAACATAAATAACAGATATAAAGTACCCCCCAGATGTTCCGACTTTGTCCAAAATCTAATCATTTCACGTCAGGCCGAAATAAAACTTAAGTTTAAAATTTAATGTTTTTTTCTTTATCCGTTTTTGAATTTTCTTCAAATTTCGAAATTTACACATTTTCTCAAATATCTCGAATACGGTCCATTTTAGAGAAATTATTTATAGGATAAAAATTATAGAGAATTATATTACAAACAACTTTTGTTTGAACAATTTTTATAAAAAAAAATATTTTTTTACATTTTGTCAAATTTCGCGAATACGGACCATTTTAGGAAAATTTTGTATATAACAAAAATTATAGATAATAAAATAAGAAGTTACTTTCATTTGAAGAATTTTCTTCCCCAAACGTAAATAACAGATATATTCCGTAAAATATAAAAATGACCACCTATAAAGTACCCCCCCAGATGTTCCGACTATGCCCAAAATCTAATTAGCTCATTAGACGCTGGACCAAAGCTTAAGTTTGAAATTTGGTGTTTTTCCGTGTATCGGTTCATGAGTTATGCGTTATACAGACACACACACACACACACACACACACACACAGACACACACACACACACACACACACACACACACACACACACACACACACACACACACACACACACACACACACACACACACACACACACACACACACACACACACACACACACACACACACACACACACACACACACACACACACACACACACACACACACACACACACACACACACACACACACACACACACACATCATCGCGAAAATAGTCAAAACGGATTCAGGGGACCTCAAAACGTAAAAATCCGTCGAAAACTCGAGGTCGAAAAAATCATGATTCCTATACTTTCCTTATATCTGTATACAGATAGGAAAGTAATTATATCTGTATACAGATAGGAAAGTAAAAAGGAGATTGGATTTCCTTTAAAATGGTGTTTTTTTTTTTTGATAAAAATGAACTAGCTAAGATATTGCTCTCTTCTTAAGACATAATAGCCTATTACTTGAAGTCCTAAGTATATAGTTTACAGTTATAATTTGATTATTTTGACGTATAAATATTTTTAATATAGATCAATGGCGTGCCGTTATAGAAAGAGAGCAATAGGAGTGATATTTTTAATGTAGATCAATGGCATGCCGTTTAAAAGGGAAAATATTAATATTTAAAACAAATATACTTATACCTTCGAACATATATATTCCATAAATGAAAATCAAATGACAGTTCTGACAATTTCGAACGATTTGACATACCAAGCAAAACGAAACCCAGACAGCACACCAAATCCTTTGGATATCTACTGAACATCCCAATATCCACTGAATGTCCAGTCTATGGTGGATATCTATTTTATATCCATAAAATGTAATTTATAGACATGCAAATGTCCATAAATAATAGTAATTATATAGCAAATTATTAAAAAATTACGCCATTGTGCTCGCCATTGTGGCTAATAGTACCGTTCAGATATTTAAAATTAATTTTTTTAAGGTGTATTCAATATCCCATGGACATCCTATATCAAAGTCTTAGCGCGGACGCAAACCATCGTGGATATCTACTAGATGTAATTTTTGATTTTGCTTCCTAAGTATAGATGGCGATACCACTTTCGTATCTACTCATGCTCAACCCGCCATAATTGAGTTGATCGAAAAAAATTTCGCATTAAGAATTTCCATTTATTGCTGAAGAGTCCTAATAAGGATGACTTTTTCCTTAGTGGGCAAACTCAAAGGCAGATTGTTGGAAATATTTTTTATCTCTATTTTCTTTCGACGTTATTCAGTAATCATTTGGTTACTTATGAACGTGTACTAAAGATACCTATAAAATATTTTGCTGAATATCTGAATTCTATATCCTGGGATATAGACGGACATTTGGTTGGATATCCATATTTGGATATCCACAAAATATATTCTGTGGATATCTCTGGGATTTCTTGTATTGTCTGGAAGATACTAATTAGATATTTTGCTTAATATCCATAGGATATCTTCTATATTCTGGATATAGACGGACATTTGGATATCCATATTAGATCCACGGAATATTTCTGATATCCTGTGGATATATTGGATATCCACAAAAGATATTCTGTGGATATCTTTGGGATTTGGTGTGTTGTCTGGGAACAGACTAATGGGAATGTTGGACACTATTTTCCCACTCTACCAAAACAAAGTCCATTTGGACGATGGTTTTAGTAATATGTTCTCTAAGCATAAGAACTTTTTTCTGCACCTAAATGAATCAGACCATCACTGTAAAGAGAATTAGAAAATTTTTGGTACCTACATTTTTTTGAAATATGGCACATTTTTTAGACAAATCTGGTATATAACAAACATATTCTGGCATCACTGTATGTAACGGCTCAAAATTCTGAATAGGTCAGATTTAAACGGCCGTCTTAAAAATTTGTAGGAAATTGAACTAATTGGAATCCCCTCGTATACTGTTTTTTACTTTATTCAAGTTATATCATTGTTAGGCAACTAATTATGTCAAACCGCGTATTGTATGTTGCATAACTACCTTTTTAAATAATTAGTTATATTCGTATAAAAAATGCATTTATGTAATATTTAATTTACGTCTCAATTAATGTAATTTAATTTAACAATTTTCTTTTTTTAATAATATCAATTTTTTCTGTAAAAAATTACCTTATTTTGCGGATCTATTTTTCGATCGATTGATGTGCGTTAGATTACTGCGCAGGGATGAAACAACGCTAACGCTTCGCGTAGGAAAGTCTGAAAGTCATTTGTGCGTGGTCTACGCTTTGAAAAACTCGTTCCTATCGATCTTAGCGATATAGATCTTGACTTTATTTGTAAATTTTACATGTAGTGAACTGTTTATTTATAGTGTCTTCTTCCTGAGTTTGGAATGGAACTAAAGGTAAATAAATTCATATAAAATTTAACGTTGTGTTCCAATAAAAACGAAAAGCATCTTATCGATTGTAAAACGAAATCCAATGTTATCAAAATCTAAGAAATTGAACTGTTTAGTGAAAAAAAGTGTTTGATAACTTACCAATATAATTAATAAATGTATTCTAGGTAATCAAATAGTGTTTAGCTATTCTACGTGTGATCATTCTCAATTTTCAATGTAACAATCAGTACCTTTGTACCTATATTGATTTACCCATACCTATCTCTATTTTTAACACGCTTTTATTATATTTTGATATTCTATAATATAACGAATTGTTAGGTTTTATCTTAAATTTAATAGAATTCGTTTTACGAAAGAAGAAACCACCTGAAGTTGCAGTCGTATGCGGGAATTTGTCGATACAACCACCGCCATTTTATAAATTTGATGTTTGACTTCAAATCAGTAGCGTAACCATTTCAAATATACAACATAAATAAATAAATAAATATAAATATGGAAATGGTGCAGGGCAATTTTCACCTATTTTAATGCAAGAAATGTTGAAATTAAAACGAAAATGCAGTTTGCAAACTTACAAATTTTTTATAGTCTGTTAAATATTTCATATAGAAAGGAATGATCACTTTTATAGGTTTTTTTCGTATAAACAGTGGCGCACCCAAGGGGGGGTTTTGGGGGTTAGAACCCCCCCCCCCCCCCCGAAATTAAGCACTGATATAATGAATTTTATATGAATATTATACTGTATGTTCTTCCGATCTTAATAATACCTTGTTATTTAAATTTAAATCATAGTTTAAAATAAAAAATTATAATACTTTTGATTTTTTTCTTTGTTTATTAATTGTGTAAACTTCAATATTTATTGTCATCAAGATTAATATTCAATATACAATTTTTTGTCAGTAAAATACAATTTTCGGATCATATATTTTTTGGTTCATCTGGCAACACTGACTCCAAGTAGTCATGGGATGATTGTGAGCAAGTTGCTCGTTATGTACTCTGTGTTATCGTCGTAAAAAAACTCAAAACTTGGAAGAGATCTTTTTGTCACTCGTGCGTCATAAATTAAAAAACAAATAGTGTGTTAGTTGTTATTTCTTTAGAAGTTGTCAAGTCAGGTATTCAGCTTTAGCAGTATTTTATGTAAAGCGTTCCAGCAACGAAATATTGAATTAAAACAGGCTGCAAATTTGGCGGAAGATACAATTGCTGAACTTCAAAGCTTGCGGGAAAATGCAAATTTGGAATTCAAAAAACTATTTTTAAAAGTAAAAAAATTGGGCGAAAAGTTTGAGTTTCCTATAAATAAACCGCGAACTACCCTACATCAAACAAAAAGGTGTAATGTTGATACGGAAAGTACCGAAGATTATTACCGGATTGCAATATATATTCCATTTTTGGACTCTTTCATAAGTAACATAAAAGAAAGATTTTCAAAACATAAGTAAATATTGGCCGGATTCCAAAGCCTGTTTCTCAAAGATCCGTCCATTCTCACCGACGAAACGATAACTGAATTCCACTCGTTGGTATTATTTTATAAACATGACCTGACAGGAACCAAAGATGAGCTGGTTGTCGAACTTAGACTTTGGTACAGAGCAATTGCTAGACTGCCAAATGAAAAGCGGCCCAGAGATGCCTTAAGCGCATTACAACACGTTACTGACACCTTTACAAATATCAGGACATTACTCCATACATTAGCTATATTGCCTGTCTCTACTGCTGAAGGTGAACGTAGTTTTTCAACTCTGCGACGACTCAAAAGTTATTTGAGAAACAGTACCTCGGAAAACCGGTTAACTGGCCTGACTCTTTTGCATATTTATAGAAATATGACTCCGTCTGTAGAAAATATTTTAAATAGGTTCGCCGAGAAGCCTAAAAAATTAAAACTCAGCTTGGCTTAATAGGGCTTTTTTGTTGCCAATATAGCTTGACTGTTTTTTCCTTCAAATTTTATTTTCCCAATTCAATAAATGTATGTAGTATGTTCCTTTCGTTTTCGTTAGTAAAAATAACAAAAAACTTGTGAAATCTGCTTTTTTGTTGGTTTTCTGTGTTCAGCCTTCATCATCATGAAACGCCCCCCAAACAAAAATCCTGGGTGCGCCACTGCGTATAAATCATTCAAATGGTTAATAAAATTGAAAATTTCGCTAAATGTTATTGAATTAGTGGGTGGAAAATGGAGATAGGGGTGAAAATGCAACCCTTAAGAGGTTTTTAATTATAAATATTTTGAAAATAAAGCAAAATTCAAGCATTAGCCGCGGAATAACTTTTCCTGGGTATACATGGGGAAGGGGGGCTAAGCCCCCCAGATCTCCTTCCTCCGCCAATGAATTCAAGTATAAATAATTAATATGAAATTTTTGTAAAGAATGCAATTTCACATCGAATTATTTATGTAAAATTTTTTTAGGTAAAAATTACATAAAAAAAAAGAATTTAAAAAAGAAAAAATCCAATTTTTTTTGCTCTTTTTGTATATAATTGCTTTCTGAGCGAAGCAAAATTCATGCAGTTAATATGATGACGATTTCATATCAAATTATATAATTTTTTTTTATGAAGTAAAAATATAAAAAAGTATTTAAAAAAACAAAATAATATATTTTCTTTCTACTTTTTTTGCTTATAATTGCTATCTGAGTAGAGATAGGTGTTAGGCATTGCTTCATATAAAAATAGTAGATTGAATTCCCTTTAAAATGGTGGTTTATAAAACTTATAAACTTTTTTTTTTTTTGATAAAAATGAATTAGCTGAGATATTGCTCTCTTCTTAAAACATAATCAATAGCCTATTACTTGAAGTCCTAAGTATATCGTTTACAGTTATAATTTGATTATTTTGACGCATAAATATTTTTAATATAGATCAATGGCGTACCGTTATAGAAAGAGGGAAATAGGAGTGATATTTTTAATGTAGATCAATGGCATGCCGTTTAGAAGGAAACATATTGATATTTAAAACAAATATACTTAAACCTTCGAGCATATATATTTCATAGAGTCCGCATACGTTATGAGGGAAAATGCCTAGACACTATTACCAGAGTCGATCATTTTTACGGGGTTTGCAATTAATATAAATAATAAATTTGATACATACCTTCAAAATTCTTTAAATTATGCACATAGTTTATAAACTTGCATTACTTATTTAAGTCAAATGACAGTTCTGACAATTTCGAACATTTAACATGCCAATAAAACGAAAACCAATGGGAATGCTGGACACTATTTTCCCTCCTCCACCAAAACAAAGTTCATTTGGACGATGGCTCTAGTAATATATGCTCGAAGACTTTTTCTATTTATTCAAATTTTAATCAATAAATATAGTTAATTTTACTATTTTTTTCTCTTTTCAGTGCTTTAAAATCAATGTGTCGATTCGCTATGTCCGAAAAATGTAACTGGTAGGAGTATGTTGGAGTTGCTAGATATACATCAATTTTACTCGGTTTTAAAATTAGTTTTTTTTTCGTAAAGCAACTCATGTTTGTTGACGTCGTCTATGCCGATGGGACACATGCGCAGAAACATCTTTCTGCCTGTTGTATCGACATTGACGATGTGGTGTATTTGTAATCGTTTCATTTGACAATAAAGACGTTTTATCTTCAGAACTTTACACCTTTCGAATTTATTTTCTGTGGAAAAAGTACGAGCGGAAAATCTGCAGTATTTAGTTTTTCGAAGGTGTAAATTCTGCATAGATCGAATGGACAAGGCTGCAAAAATAGTGATCGGCGATGGTTTTAGGATTTTTATTAAACTCAAATGAACTTATTTGGAAAAAAACCGTTTTTTTAATAAAGATGGACTTGTAAATAAATATAGGTCAAATTATTTATTTTTCAAGCAATGTAGTTCTTTAAATTTTTTAATTATAAGCGAAAGCACATCTGCTAATTTAAGCAATAGGAAATACATTTTTTTATGTTTAACTATATTTGTGTAACATAAAAATTCACTGTCTTAGGACATTTTTTAAGCAAACCATTTACAGTTTTAGAGTTATATCTATTTTTGCTTTAACACTTTGTATATATCATATTTTTATAGTTAAAAATTTTAAATTAATGTAATTTTTTGGTTACCAAGTAAAAAAATTTGAGTTTAATAACAACCTGGAGGCATTGAAGGCTTGCTATTGAAACGGAATGAGACGTTGAGTATTGAGGTCAGAATGAAAGCTCGTCGCCGGGAACAGAAGATTTCCGGAATTAAATATAGCGGGTGTCGCGAAAAAAATGGTTCTTGGACCTTGGATGGGAAAGACGAGACAACGAATGGAACATGGGGCTTCTGTGACTTCAATTAGAGGTGAGTGTTTATTAATTTCTTATTTCGTTTCTCCGAAAGAACAATGACACAGGTGAAAATTGATGATTCCGCAAAAATCGCAAATTTAAAAAATATAATATGAAACTTACAACTGAGTCTCAGAAAACTGCAGAGCCTTTTGGCAAAGTTTCGTTTTCAAGTTTAATATTCAATAAAGATGTTCAAACTAAATTTGTTTTCAAAAATTGACAACATCAAAACATACATCGTAAGATACAGTGTCCTACATAAAAATCTGATGTATCTAGTTATTATAGGCTTTTTCCGGTTATTTTGTACAACCTATTGCAGCATCTCTATAAATGTTTAGAGGATAAACTAAATATATACATTGTTCACATACATCTACCTCGAAACATTTTTATATAGATATTCATTGAAAACGAAAATACTGAAAAATTTAAATTTAGCACTTTCCCATTACGGTCCATTTTAGAAGAATCATGTATAAAAAATTATAGAAATCGATATCGCAAACAACTTTTAGTTCAACAATTTTCATAAAAATCAGAATTTTGCACATTTTGTCAAATTTCTCGAATATGGACCATTTCAGGAAATTTTGACATAGAACAAAAATTATAGATAATAATATTAGAAGTAACTTTTATTTGAACAATTTTCTTCTCCAAATATAAATAACAGATAAATTCCATAAAATATAAAAACAGCCTCCCATAAAGTACCCCTCTAGATGTTCCGACTTTGTCCAAAATCTAAGCATTTCACGTCAGGCCGAAATAAACCTTAAGTTTAAAATTTAATGTTTTTTTCTTTATCTGTTTTTGAGTTTTCTTCAAAATTCGAAATTTACACATTTTCTCAAATATCTCAAATAAGGTTCATTTTAGAGAAATTATGTATGGAGTAAAAATTATAGAGAATTATATTACAAACAACTTTTATTTGAACAATTTTTATAAAAAAATATTTTTTTTACATTTTGTCAAATTTCTCGAATACGGACCATTTTAGGAAAATTTTGTATAGAACAAAAATTATAGATAATTATATTAGAAGTAACTTTTATTTGAAGAATTTTCTTCTCCAAACGTAAATAACAGATATATTCTATAAAATATAAAAATGACCACCTATAAAGTATCCCCCCAGATGTTCCGACTCTACCCAAAATCTAATCAGTTCATTGGACGCTGGAATAAAGTTTAAGTTTAAAATTTGGTGTTTTTCTGTGTATCGGTTCATGAGTTATGTGACATACAGACACACAGACACACACACAGACATCATCGCGAAAATAGTCAAAACGGATTCAGGGGACCTCAAAACGTAAAAATCCGTCGAAAACTCGAGGTCGATAAAAATCATGATTCCTATACTTTTCTTATATCTGTATACAGATAGGAAAGTAAAAATATGTAAGCAGTCTCTTAAAAATTTTTTTTATCTTAAGCGTACTACTATTTCGCCCCTAGCCACAAAGACACTTTCATTAAATTTACTGGCTCTCTGTCGCAACCCCATAAAATAATTAACTGGCCATTTTATTTGGCAAAAATCAGAATAATGCTTGGCTGTGCCTGTCAAGTATCAAGATGTCAACTGTGATGTGTGAAGGACTCTTAAATGTCAAATTATTTAAAAATGTATGCTTCTTTTGATATTTATTGCAAATAATTTGTAGTGTATTTCAATTCAGGCTTTCCATAAATAAAGGTACAGCAAGACAGATAATATAATGTTCTTATACAAAGCACAAGGCTTGTGAAAATCATCACATGGTTTAACTCAAGTAATGCCAGTGCTTCACAAACCAAAACATTCAACGTCCTAATACTACTATCGGCTTTCAGTCTTTCGTTCCAAGTTAAAACATTTCGTTTTAGTTACGCTACGAGTTTACCCTTCTGGGCCTCAGTCTCGATAAGATGGGGACCACCATTTTAGCGTCTCTCGAATTATTTTGATGTTATTGGTAATTGTTCTATTTTTTACTTTCCTATCTGTATACAGATATAAGGAAAGTATAGGAATCATGATTTTTTTCGACCTCGAGTTTTCGACGGATTTTTACATTTTGAGGTCCCCTGAATCCGTTTTGACTATTTTCGCGATGATGTCTGTGTGTGTGTGTGTGTGTGTGTGTGTGTGTGTGTGTGTGTGTGTGTGTGTGTGTGTGTGTGTGTGTCTGTGTGTGTGTGTGTGTGTGTGTGTGTGTGTCTGTATAACGCATAACTCATGAACCGATACACGGAAAAACACCAAATTTCAAACTTAAGCTTTATTCCAGCGTCTAATGAGCTGATTAGATTTTGGGCAGAGTCGGAACATCTGGGGGGTACTTTATAGGTGGTCATTTTTATATTTTATGGAATATATCTGTTATTTACGTTTGGGGAAGAAAATTTTTTAAATAAAAGTTACTTATTATTTTATTATCTATAATTTTTGTCATTTACAAAATTTTCCTAAAATGGTCCGTATTCGAGAAATTTGACAAAATGTAAAAAATTTTTTTTTTTATAAAAATTGTTCAAACAAAAGTTGTTTGTAATATAATTCTCTATAATTTTTGTCCCATAGATAATTTCTCTAAAATGGACCGTATTCGAGATATTTGAGAAAATGTGTAAATTTCGAAATTTGAAGAAAACTCAAAAACGGATAAAGAAAAAATCAATAAATTTTAAACTTAAGTTTTATTTCGGCCTGACGTGAAATGATTAGATTTTGGACAAAGTCGGAACATCTGGGGGGGTACTTTATGGGAGGCCGTTTATATATTTTATGGAATATATCTGTTATTTACGTTTGGGGAAGAAAATTGTTCAAATAAAAGTTACTTCTAATATTATTATCTATAATTTTTGCCTTATGTAAAAATTTCCTGAAATGGTCCGTATTCGAGAAATTTGACAAAATATGCAAAATTCTGATTTTTATGAAAATTGTTGAAATAAAAGTTGTTTGCGATATCGATCTCTATAAAATTTGTTCATACATGATTTTTTTCAAATGGACCGTAATGGAAAAATTGTAGGAAAAGTGCTAAATTTAAATTTTTCAGTATTTTCATTTTCAATGAATATCTATAGAAAAATGTTTCGCGGTAGATGTATGTGGACAATGTATATATATTTAGTTTATCCTCTAAACATTTATAGAGATGCTGCAATAGGTTGTACACAATAAACGGAAAAAGCCTGTAATTACTAGATAGGAAAGTCATGTGTTGGACACATCAGATTTTTTTTTTTAATGAAAAGGACTTTAAACCATTTCCGACTTATAATCTAGTATTATGCAGCTTGTAGTGATAGCATCGCCCTGTACTTATCTAATAAATTTTCTTTATTAATAAAATTATAGCTATCTAACGTTTACCTACTACCTACCTCTAAAATCTCTACTCAACAGGAAAGTTGGGAGTCTAGAGCGCAATAACTTTTAATACACATGAATTTTTGTTACGTTTCAACATTATGTTTTATTAGATGAGGTATAAGTATAGTAAACTGAAACTTTTTAATACACCTATGGTTTTTAACATTGTTCTCATGAAGATTTGTCGTTTTGGACTAAAAGTTATTGAATAAATGACTATTTGTTTCCTATTTAAAAGTAGCGATGTTTTAATATGTACCATTATCGTGCATAAACAGTTTTCATACAAAATTCATTGTCTCAGAGGTGATTTAAAATACTTATATTTATAGTATTGTTTTTAAACTTCTATTATTAAAATCAGATCCGAGCTAACGTGTCTGGTTGATCTTGTAGTACGTTGCCATACGCCTTAAGTTACGTTTTTCAAACAGAACAGTTTAAGGAGCGTTAAAAAATCGAGTGGGAAAAATTATAGAGCATTAAATATTCCTACATTTGTTGCTACCTATATAGTTGACGACTTCGACTATACTACAATTATTAAACATTGTTGTATTCTTTAATATAATATCACCATAAACTTCAGATTTTCGTATTAATTATCTAACACTATTTTTATAATACAGGGTGGCTCACGCCATGGGCGAAGTTATGTCATCAGATCTGGGGGGGCTAAAGCCCTAGCCCTAGTCATATAATATATAATAGTTCTAGAGGTATACTGAAGTTAAGTAAAAAAATTCTGGCGAATCTATGAAAATGAATAAAATAACATATATAAGTGAAAAAACTGAATACTTTTCATCACAAAAATTTCCCTAATTTTCGCAACAAAAGTAGATATGAATAATTCACTCAAGTTGTACAGTATATTTTTTCTACGAACCACTAACGAAAATCTACAAATTTAAAAAATTATTTTAGGTTTAGACAAAATAAGCAATTTTAAAATAATTTATGAATTTTAATAATTTATAAAATAAAAAAACATAAAGAAAATTAGCTCCTAGCCCAGATTCGAACCCAGGCTATTCGCGTGGAAGGCAAATGCTCTGTCCTCATCTCCACCGCCACTTTTAGGTTTTTAATTTTAATACTCGTAATTAAATTAGTTTCATACAATTTGATTAAAATTTACTTTTTTTAAATGTGGCCCAAATAAAATTAAAATGCTATTTTTTATCGATTCTAAACAAAAATAACTACTTTTAACGTATATGTTATCTTAATGACTAAAAAATATACTGACAGTTTGTTAGAATTTAAAATTTTAAAAATATTAGTAGTTGGATGTCCAAAATAATAATATGAACTGTGATTTGTGGATTTCATTATTTTGCAGTTTTCTCGCTATGTTATGTTATGTTGGGAATGGGGTGTTAATACACTGCGACCTAAAATATCTATTATGCCCTCTTCTGTCGCTAATGCAGCAAGGAAATGTCTCAATGCCTATAACGACCCTTTCAATTATATCTTCTCAAGGAAGTGTAGGATTTGGAGAGGTTTCAAGTTTCTATTTGATATGCTCCTAGGTATAGTGCCCTTGGATTCTGGCGTGCTACACATTCAGTTAGAATGTAAATGAAGGTTTCGTCCTTCTCCTCACAGAATCTTCACTCACTATTTTC